CAGGCGTCGTCCGGCGGCTCCGAGCCTCTGGACTCACAGGTCTGACGAGGACAAGTTTTTTATCGTCTTTCTTTCTTTCCTATCGAGACATCATGTCCTCCATCTTTATGGTGTAACAGCTGCAGCTCTGTGTGTGTGTGTGTGTGTTTCTCAGAGCTCTGACTCGGTGCAGGTCGATGACCGTCTGCTCCGTAAATCGCCCGTCTTCCTGTCCAATGACTGCAAAGCGTTGGTTCAAATCCCGCGGCTGAGTCAGGACCTGCTGGAAACCTGCAGAAGCTCAGGGTTTGTATTGTGCTCTCAGGACACTTCCTCCCCTCAGACGTCTCTGCCCGCTGAAACCAAGAGCCCGACGTTTCCCAGAAGCCCCGGCAACCTCATGTCTTGTCCGAAGAGTCCTGTCTTCTCAGAGACGCTGCAGGGAGATGATGACGAAACGCAGCTTACGCAGGGTCTTGAGTATTTAAAAAGTCCTGTGTTTGGCAGGAACACTGAACGTGAGACGACTCCAAGTGCCTGCGAACCTCTCGTCAGTGTCTGTGAAAACTCAGGGTTGGAGTTCTCCTCTCAGGAGACTTTTACCTCCTCTGTGAGGACCACTTCCCGTCGGCCTCAGAGCCCCGTCTTCCCAAGAAGCCCAGCCCTGCCCCCTCCCCCGGGAAGATCATCGATCCGCAGCAGCCCCGTCTTCTCAGAGACGCACCGAGGAGCCGCCGAGCGAAGTCACGGCTCTTCTTCGAGTCCGGTGTTCGGCAGCAGTGGACGAAAGCTCAGTGATGACGAGCCGAAGACGTCTGCGGTTCCTTCAGAGGTCGGAAGGTCAAACAGAGAAGTGAGTCGAGCCGTCTGCGAGGAATCATCTCAGAGGCCGACGCAGGTGAAATATTTTAACGTGCTTTGACATTTGTTGTCAGGCTTCTCATCTGTTGCTTCATAAGTCTTCGGAACATCCAGACACTTTGTCATTTCTCTCTTTTTCTCTGTTTTTGATCGAAGTCCTGCGACACTGACCCTCATCAGGACGACGTCAGGTTGAACACGATCTCCGTGGTGTCTCCGTCAGGTGAAGTCGAACATCACACGCTCCTCGTCGAACGTGTTGTGTGATTCTTTTCTCATGCTTTTTCCTGGTTTCAGATGATTCACAGGAAACACCTGAAGACTTGAACGCAGCAGAGACGGAGCTGACCAGCGACATGGTGCTCGTCTGGTCTGACAAGGACGAGGACATCACGGTACAGAGACTCTCTCTCACTCTCTCCGTCCCAACAAATCAGATCAGTCCTCCCTCCTCTTGTCTATGTGTCATGGTTTCAAATGCATTTTAAGAAAATAAGTTATTTCTCTCGTTCCTGCGTCCGTCTGTTGCAGCCGGCATGTTCTCCGAGCCCGGTCTTCTCAGAGGAGAGAGGTGCTGGTCTGGCAGATGTTCAGGTTTCATCCCTGAACCACGACACAGCAGCTTCTCCAGGAGCAGAGTGGAGGAGCAGGTAGAGAACACACAGACCTGAGAGCTTGTTGATCACACATCAGACTCACATCGATCATCAGATTGTAATTTTAATTTAATTTCTCTCTTAACTGAGGCTGTTTGAGTTTTGCTTTTTTGATTATTCTCAGAAGTTACTGTTCAAGTGTCACTAACATGTGGCTGCAGGGGGCGCTGTTGCTCAGTAAAAGTCACTGTTGCCATCAACGGCTGCAGGACGCTGCCTCCTCTTTTTCTGTGCATCGTCCACAAACTAGAGTTTGTATATTCAAACGTTCATACCTCTTTGCTTCTTTATATATCGTGATACATTTCATTCACACGTTGACAGGGCAGCTGTCAGGGGAAATTTGAGGTTCGGGGGATCAAACCTCGACCCGTTCTACCTCCTGAGCCACTCCATACACATAAACACTGTATAACAAGGTCTCCTGTCAGCGCAGAGCAATGGGACTAATCAACACTCTCCATGTTTCTGCAGCTCCACAGAGGAGGAGCTCCAGCCAGTCGAGGGGGCGTGTGCTCCGCCTGCAGTCGGGCCGACGGTTCACTACTACTGGGGGGTTCCCTTCTGTCCCCGAGGCCTGGACCCAGACGCCTACACACAGGTGATAAAAGTGACGGATGATCGGACGAGAGACTAAAGTGATCTCAAAACTCACATGATGAATGTCTGTATACGTTCAAATCCTCTCTCAGGTGATCCTGGCTCAGATGGACGTTTACGACAAGAGTCTGAAACAGGCTCAGAGGCGTCTGCTGAGGAAGGCGCCGTGGGGGGGCGCCATCCTGCCACAGCCTGAGGTACGACCGGGATTTGAAATGAGACGTATTCTGTTCGTCTTCAGGTTTTAATCAGTGTTGTTACTTTAAAATGTGAAAAATAAACAGCATTAAAATCCTGTTTTTCCACATTTACTCTTGTATATGGACACGAAATTCACCAGAATAAAGTTTCATGGTGTTTGAAATAAACATCTTGTATTTTTCCCCCAGAAATCTCCTTCACCTGAGCCGTCTGCTGAGTCGCCTCAACGTCTTGTTCCTCGAAGGTAAAACTCCTCTTGTGGTTCAGTTCATTAAGAAACGGATCCCTACGTATTCACATGACACATACCTGATGATGACGAAGACGTTATCGTCGTCATCATCATCATCAGGGTCACGCTGCAGACTCGTGACTGAAGTCTGCACGTGTTCCTGCCGTGTTCTGGAGGTTCTGTATATATAACAGGGACGGACGTGAAACTGGAAGAACACAAATATCTCAGGATGAAGAAGAGGAGCCGTACACGTAGAAGACGAAGAGGTCACCTTGGAAAGACGAGGAGATTCACAGGACAAACACCAACTACACAAAATGTCCAAACACTATTTTACATAGTTCATGAAAACAGCTTCAGAGAAAGTGAACGCTTCTCTACCTGCAGTAACGTCTGTTTTCCACTTGGTGTCAGCACTAACTGTGAACGTGCTTCTGCTCAGTTCGTTTGAACTCAAACTCGTCACTAAACTTCTGACAGATGAAGTGTAGATGTCATCGTGACGTCTGTTTTTCCTTCCCTCTCTTTTCCAGACGAGGTCTCAGATTGAAGAAGAACAACCAGAGTGAAGAGTCTCCTCCAGCTGAGGAAGAGGAGGAGGGTGGAGAGCAGCGGGATGGGGAGGCAGAGAAGGAGACAGAGGGAGGAGAAGGTGAAGAAGGACGGATGGATACTGACGACTGTGATGTTTGTCCAGGTACTGAAACAATGTGATGAAAGTCTAACTTTCATAAACTGATGATTTGAAGTCGTTCGTCAGTCGTTTGACAACAGACACATTCTGACGCTGTTTTAGGAAACGACAAGGTCAAAGATCAAAGTCCCCACCTCCATCTGACGCTGATGACTGTTAAATGTTTTTCTTCTTCTTTCAACATCAGAAACTCAACTGAGTAACAACGATGACGACGAAACACAAGTTCTGACGATTGACTCCGGGACCGAGGTGAGTTCACGTCCGGAGACCGAGAGTTCAGAGCAGATGAAACAGCTTGATGTGAATGAGACGTTCAGGGGCCTGAGAACGAGCTGTGAGCTCATCAGCGTTCTTTTATTTACAGGTTTTAATACATCATATAGAATAAATCTAATTTTAAAATATGCTTCTATGTCCCTGTAGCTTCAACCTGAAAGTCCTGATCTCCCCGTGGTCCAGAAGATTCCTCGAGACGATTCTCCAGCTGTGGTCGAGCCGCCGCAGGAGGAGGAGGAGGAGATGGAGGTGGACGGTGAGTTCGAACACGTAACCACGAGAAAAACTTTCATTTTCGTTGATTGATTTTGAATTAATATTAATTCCTCTCTAAAAATGATTCATGTTGTCAGCGGAAGTTTGTGGAACAATGGAGGGAAACATCCCTGTCGGCGGCGGTGATGCTGCACACAAGAAAGGAGAGGACATGAAAGAGGACGACGTGGATCCAGAGGTGGACGAGATAAAAGTCAGAGGGCTGCAAAGGCCGACGTCTCCGGAAGTGGATCCCGCCGCCATCGCTCCGAGTCCTGAAGCCAGCGTGGACTGTCCCATCTGCCAGGGATCCTTCCCGGTGACAAAGATCGAGTGGCACGCAGCGTACTGTGACGGAGAGGTGGCTGTCCTGGACGAGAGGGCGCCTGAAGGTGAGAGAGACAAATCTTTCTCTAGTAACGTCTCATATCTCAGATCAAACTTTAAGTTATTTTATTCATTTCATCGTTCAGTTGCTTTTCTTTTTACCCTCTGACATCACAACGTGCTACTGTGCCCCCCCCCCCGAGTTTGTTTTAAAGTGACAGACGTCTGTTTTCTTTGCTGCCTGGCGTCGTTTCTCTCGTCTCGTTCACGTTGTGTTGAGTCGATGGTTTAAAGTGACTCTCTCCACTTTAGTGTCGTCGAAGCCTCGAAGGAAGCGACGAAGAGCAGAGGTCGCAGAAGCTGAAGAGACAAACGACTCCGTCAACAGCAGGAACCAAGAGAAATGCTTCATCTGTCAGAAAAACGTTCCTCTGAGAGAATACACCCGACACACCGAGCTGTGCATCCACCGCCGACCACCGAAGCCTGACACGGTGAGTCACGTCATCCACCGAGGGGCCGACCGACCGCAGGGACGACAGAACAGGAACCAGCTGCTAAATCAAAATGACGACTGGGGACCGACATTGTTGTTGTTGTTGTAGTTCATCATAATCCTGCGACAATTCAGTCATCACTCGTTTACGCGTTTACTCTGCGCCGAGTACTTTCTATTTGTCTTTTCTCTCTGAGCTCACTGTAAAGTTCTGTATTTAGAGAAGTAGAGATTCGTGAGTGATTTCAACCAAACTGTTGAATAAACTTTCTCTCCGTTATATTTCCGACCCTCCAGAGAGGAAATCTGCTCTCAGCTCTGGAACAAACAGAAAACAGAGGATCGGGTGAGTCTCTGCAGCTTCTTCAAAGTTTCTCCAGGTTTGGTTCGAGTCCTCACACGTGTCCCGTTTGCTTCAGGCTGCTTCCACAGGACGGCGCTGAAGTGTTCAAACTTTTTGGGAATCTCCAAAACACAAATCTAAAATGAATTAGATAATCTCTATATATATTTATTTATTCTGTAATCGGACGATTTTTATCAGCCAGTTGTGATCTTAGATTTCCTGGTTCACAGGTAAAACTTTCACGTCATTGATCACAATCGACATCAGGAATGTCGTTGCAGCCTGAGGAGAAAGAAAATCATATTTACTGACGTTGTTGTTTTGTTTCCAGAAGCCGGGCCGTCAGGAACCAGAATCCAGCCGGGGTGAGAGAACTTAGAGACGTGATCTTTTATTAAAGCTCATTTCACTTAGTTCACTTCAATCCTGTAAAATGTGTTCAACAGAAATGAAACAGGGAGTGGTGTTTTTTATTGGACTTTCTTTATTTGACTTTCCACCTGGTTCCATGTTGACGTTTGTCCCTCCACGTTTAGAGAGGTCATCGACCTGCGGGATGACGACGACGACGACGACGATGAAGAGGAGGAAGGCGTACGAGCGTTGAGCATCAGCAACTCTCCCATCAGATCCTTCACTCCCATCTCCGAGGCCGCCGGCTGCCTCATCGACTTCAGGAGGCAGCAGCGAGCCAAGAAGCCGAGCCACAGACGGAGATGAGGACGAGCCTCGAGAGGACAAGCGTCTCCGGGACGGCGGCGCTGACTGAAAACATCAGAAACCAGAGCCTTAAGTAAAACCTGCAGATTCATCAGGTCAGACGAGATGTTACAATGAAAGAGGAGAGACTTTTCCCCCCGGTGGATTTTTAGCAGGTGAACGTCTCAATGTGCGAAAATCTCATTTCCTGTGCCACTCCCAGTTTTTTATGTTTCCTTCCTGCGTTGAAGATGTTTCTGTCTACCTCCGTCTGTCCAACACAACGAACCGCAAACCACTCTGATCTGAAATGTCTCCACGACGTCTGAGCAGATTTACATGCTCCCAATCCTCTGACTTTATCACAAAGATACAGTTGTCTTATCAAACGGCGTGGACCAGTTTTTAAAATCATCCTCCGGCCAAAACCCAGCGGGATGTTTTCGCACTGACGAGAAACTTTTCACTGTACACGTTGTTTGCTCTTCTCGTTTTCTGTCTTTGACTTCAAACCTGTATCTGCACTTTAGACTGAATTTGCCAGTTGTTTGACTCAGCAGAAGTAAAGTCACTGTGATGCACTGAAACAAACACGTTGACTCATTAATGGACGACATCTCACAACACTGCACCAGCTCGGTATCTTTCTTGACGCGGACGAACTTCTGTGTCGTCACATCTCGGCTTCAAACGGTCGACCTGAGGTTTCCTGTGAGGCTTTGAAAACGACGTGAAGTTTCATCAGACTCTGTCACAACGTTCGGTTTCATCAACTGCGTCAAAGACAACGAAACGAATATGAAGAACAATCATCAGAGTTCAGATTAAATCTGAACCTTCGTTTACCTCAGGACTGAATGTGGGACACACTCAGACCAGGACAGAAGTATTTGGACACTTGGAGCTGCAGGAATAAAATCACAGATGGACATTAGTGTCTCAGCTCTTCCTGTAAATCAAACACTGCTCAGTCAGAAAATAACACTTTCAGATAATTAAAAGGAAAGATAAAGATGTACTGGATATTGTCCTGTGACCTGCAGTCAGTAGTTTTAACAGAGAAACATCTTCCTCTGCAGACAGTTGATTTATTTATTCAGAAAAGTGATTCGATCAAAAGTTCAGGACAAAAATAAAAACACTCTCGTTTGAAGAT